TGGTCTTTAAGTAGACCGAGGATTCTGTATCCTAAGGGAACGCTCTTTTCTCCTATAAGCAAGGCCGTAAAGGTATGCTGGCGTGCAAGCGGAATATTGATGTTTTGTTTTTACAGTGGAGTTTTTGGGGGCCTGGTGGTTTTTCTTCTGTTTCTGTTTTTTATTTTTTAACAATAAACTTTTTATTTTATTTTTTTATGTTGATTTATAAACAAATGATAAATTAAATTGTAAACATTAGGTTAAATAAGATACATCGAACAATTACAAAAAGTGCGAACAGCACCTTTATTTTCTTTGTTTACTTTTTATTTTAATTGTTTACCTTGTTAAATATTACATGTTGCTAAATTAAGATGTTAAAACTACATGTGTAAGATTTTAATAGAAGATTAACTGTTTTTTTTAGAAAAATGATTATGAAAACAGATTAGATGTATACAAACAAATTAAAAATTATTGCCACATGTTAGTTGCATCATGATAAAAACAAAAATGAATCTGTCTGGTATTGTTTTAGAAAAAGTTTTCCAAAACGGGAGTAAATAAATTTTAGTACAAATGAATTAATTAACAATAAATTCAAGCTCTGTACTAATGATCCCATAACTGTTTTTTTTTATGAAAACGCTAGCTGTACTCTTCAAAACATTTATAATGATTCTGTTCAAAAAACATGCTTCCTAATGAAGCGATAGCAAAAAATTTGGTAAGTTTAGATAATACAAAAAGAATTAAAAACAGGATTAATGCGTAATATTAAACAAAAATTTCTAAGAAAGGTATCTAGATTACAAATTTGTCGCTTGAAGTTAATTATGATATTACCATTGAATATTTAAATACATTCTCTAATTATAAATTTTTACAATGTGATAGTTTTTTAAATGAAGAACAAAGACTTAGAATTTTTTGGAAATATAATTGTTAAGCAAGCCTTAAATACTATCTTGTTTTCGGATGATAGTTTATTTAAAACTTGCCTAGCTCTATTTAGTCAGTTTTTTTTAATAAATATGGTTATAAATAGCAGGGTTTTCTCTTTAATCTATCCTTTAATGCCAAATAAAGAGGAAAGTTGTTATAAGGAAGTATTTTGGACATCTAGACTCAACCTTTCACTTTTATGTATAAATGATTTAATTTTAAATTTTATATACGCGATTTCTAATGCAACTAGAGCATTTTTTTGCCTTGTAGAATAAAATTTAATTTGTTTTATTATTCTCGAACAATTTATAAAAACCTTTTTACTAAAGGATTAAAACAAAATTATCAAAGTGATAAAGCATTTAGGTTGTATATTAAATGCATAATCAGTTGGATATTTATCAAATTTGGATATCGATATAATTTCTATATTTCCATAAAAATTTATTATTTCAGAAAGTTACACATGTAGGAATAAAAACTTTTCCAGCTTTTTTTATAAAAATGGATTTATAAAGATTTTATCTCAAGTTTAAATTTGTATAGTGATGTATCCGTCTTTATTATAAGCTTCAATAATGTTTTTAATATTTTTGTTTAATAGGTTTCCTCTAGTTTGAGGTCTGGAAAATTCTGGAGTCTCGCGTTATTCGTGTCGATTTGTTATTGAACAATATTTTATGTAATTAATTTGCGTTTTATATTTATAGTAAAATATTTATTTGTAAATAAAAATATTAAAAATAAATGAAAAAGTAAGCAAAAATATTAATTAATATATAACTTTTAAGAATAAGCACAAAAAGTGACGCAAATGTCGAGTTTACGACATATAATCGAATAATGTCTAATATACCGTTAATAAATAACCATGTGTAAGGAATTAATAATTTTTTGTAAAAAGTTTGAGAGTGAAGATTTGTCTTTGATTCGATTTGTAGAAAAACTACGATATATGATTTTAATAAAAAGTATTAAAGCTGAACTTAGCGGCAGCATGTACAAACTATTTGAAACAGCAAATTAAACGGAGTTAATAAATAAAGTTATGCTTTTAAACTATACTAATAATATTGTAAAGTTAAAAAAATAGCTTTTTATGATTTTCATGAATCTTTTGAATTAATTTTGTGTTTAAATATGCTTTAGGGGCTATTTTTTTATATTTCGGCGAAATTGATTCGAAACTGTAATATTACGGCCGCTAAAAATATTATATATTAAAATTTATTTAATTTTTTTTTTCTGTAATTCCATCGGGTATAAAAAAAATAAATATTAATAGTGAAATCAATTTTAATAATTGACATATGGTAAATTATACTTTAAAAACCCATTTTAGAAATAAAAATTTAAAAAATTGCGAATCAAAGGCTTTCAGTGAAGAAACTATATATATTTTGTAGCAAATAAGTTGCATAAACATTACAAAGAAAAGGAGAAAATATAAACTTTAAGCAATATTAATGAATTAGACAATTTAATAACTTTAAAATATTAAGCCGTCATGATCAGATTCTTGACAAGAATCAATAGTAAAAAGTTTTGCATAGTTTCCTTCTAAAATTTAATATTTTTTTATTTAATCAAAAAAACATTTAATTTAAGGGCATTAATTTATAAAAAACTCAAAAATTCAATAAATACATTAAACGACGTAATTTAAAAAAAAATATTTAACAAGAGCCTAATAGAGCTTTTTTTAAACATGAATTTATCCCATAGGGACATTCTATAAGTGTACATAATTTATTCTTGAATATTAAAAAGTAAAAATCTATCGAAAAGTGACATATTGTGGTATCAAATTACATAACTTTTTATATTTTTTCTTATTTTAATAATTTTTCGAAAATGAATTTTCTACAAAAAACGAACTTATTCGGATATAAGTTTTTCTTTTAATTATTCATGACAGTCCATCATTGAACTTTCCATACTTGAGTCCATCGTTTTAAAGTTATCCTTCTCATCCGCCAATTCAAGCTCAAAGTGAGCTTCAGCCTTTTGCGACTGGCGACAGTTAAGCTACCCGGTATCATCTTGAGAGTTCTTGTCTGTATACAATATGCCTCTGTGTCTAGTTATAATCCTAGGTCGTTCGCGTATAGGCGATGGTAAGTTGTTACTATGTCGTCCCACGTCATGAATTTTTTAAAAAGTTTTTTTTTTATAAATAAAAATTCTTAAAATAAGAGTAACGCAAAAATGAGGAGGCATGAAGTATAATACAGCGGGGCATCCACAAAGATGGATGCAAATAATAATAAACAAGTTAGTTTAAAAAAGTACAAATTTATCTGCTCCTCCTTGAAGCAATACTTTCGTTTTGGTCGTCTCGCTCGAGGTTACCACACATAAATTTATGGTTGTAAAAAAAATATAAATCATAGCTTAGTTTATAGTTTTCCTCGTTTTAATTTTTTGTCTGTATCGCATGAAAAATAGCAAGTTTTTTTTATATCTCAATACATGACTTTCTGTATAACAAAATTTTATGTAATAAAATTTTCTAAACAAAATTTAATAAGTTTAAAATCTTTATAAAAAGATTTTATGCATCTAAATTTATAATTGACCCAAAATGATTATCATTGCATACAGGCCTGGTTCCAAGTAGGTTTTTTAAAACATAAGGAACAAAATTGTCAAATTTATCATAAGCGTGTCTTGTATTAGGTTTGGCTAAACTTTCAGAAGCCATGACAGTAGATAAATACTGAACAACATTTAGCAAATTCATAAAAAAATAATTTCATTTTTTCATATTTCAAATGTAACAGACTCCATAAATCATTTATCAAGTATAAAAAAGTTTGCAGATGTTATTGTTATATATTTCATGACATTTTTACTATAATTTAAACTTTAAAATAGCTTATTACAAATAATATTTTATAAAGGGAATGCATGAATTTATAGAAGAACAATGAAAAGAAATAAAATTACCTAAATAAGAATATTTAACAAAAAACTTTAACAAAAGCCTATTAGAGCTTTATTAAAAAGTTTGTTATGTCCTACAGGTACATCTCAGTCATATAGACGGTTTTTTGAAGATCGAAGCATATAGCATTATATATCTAACGTATACTACTTACCTTAATATTTAAAGTATCTACACTCTTAAATAGTGATTTTTATATTTAATTACTGGTGGACAAAAAAAAATACGTAAAAACAAAATTTAGAAGATTGATTTTAAAAAATATGATTAAATAATAATATAAATGATACAAAGTATTACTTTTTAGCGATGCCTAAAGATACAGTTAAATATGAACTATGCAAATACTTCAACAAAAAAAGACAAATGAGATTAACATAGAAGATTGTAATAAAGAGACAAAAAGCGGAAAGGCATTAGACAAGCACTTTAACATTAAATAGCTGGAAAAATTAATATTTATAAAAAAATAAAGACGAAATACAATTTACATCCGTATTTGTCCATACTAATAATCATTTTTACCCTCAAAAAAAATTATTTCAAAATAAAAAAGAAGAAAATTTAATTAATTTTTTATTTAATTAAAAAAAATAGAAAAATTATTTTTATTAATAAAATAACCAATCTTTTGCAAATATGTATGTTAATATGTAAGTTATAAGAAATGACTTGAGATTTTAACCAGGATAGAAGCATTTATCTAATCAATAGTACTTAAGAAAAACCTTGAAAAGCGTTTCCTTGAAATAAGAATAAAAAAAGATTTTGTCTTCGTAGATGGTAATGAAAAGAGGTCGACGTGTTTTAATCTGCAAGATTCTGATAGAATCTAAATTTTTTATTGAAAAAAAAACAACTAAATACTTCATATATAGTTATTTTATTATTAATGTTAGTGATCCAACTACATATTTGTGAATTACTTGTTTGAACATCACGATTTGTTTATGTAAAATATTATAACAAAAAAGACTTTAGAGTCTTTTTCTATAAATCACTCTTTAGATATTTAAATAACTCTTAACTTTTTTTTGTTTGTTTAAATTGATCCACGATACTATTTAAAGGAATTAAATTAAGAGACAAACGATTGCAGATTAAGAATAAACATTATTCTAATTAATCGTATTCTCATTCTCACCACTACTTTTTTTAAAACACGATGCATAAAGTGTTTCAATTAATTTGAAAATATATGTCGGTTTTTTTAAGATTTGTATAGCTCTAAAAAAATGAGTATTTATTTTGATAAAACGAAAAAGGCATTTGATCAAATTGTTTTTAATATTATGTTAGAATAGTTTTGTTCTCGATATTAAAATAACGTATAAAGTTTTATTAAGAGACATAATATTTTAAGATGTTCTCGTGCTACTTGCAAAAAGGAAATAAAAATTACAAATAGAAGGGTATTTTTTAATACTAAATTAATTGAAAAATAGTTTCGAAAGTTGTATTTTATTTTTGCATAACAATTCAATTTAACTTATAAACTTTATTTCGGATTAAAGTAGAAAACGATTGATCTTTTTGTAAAACGCTCACGACCCAATATAAAAAGAGATACAAAATGTGGAGGTTCTGACATATTTGTGGAAATACTGGACTAAATTTGGCAAATGAAAATATAACAAAGGACAGTGAATTGGTGAGTATGAGTCTGAAGAATGATTAAACATATGTCCTGCTATTTGCTTTCTAATTTAACTTAAAAATAGAAAGGCAAGTGTACATTTACCTTACGTATTAAATATGCCATGCCAGAAAGCATTTTATATCGATTGCTGGAAGAATAAGTCAATTTAAAGAATTGCAGTATGTATACATCTTTTTATAAAGCATAGTATTGAGAGTATTTTATATTGAAGAAGTATGCACGAAAATACTATAGAAGAGACGTGTGCAGGATAAAATTTAATAGTCCGGGTAATTGTAGAGACTTGTGCAAAATTTTGTAATTTTCTGGAATTCTTTACTTTTTAAAGAGAATTAAAATGTTTTAAGTTTAAAAAGCAAATAAAATTTTTAAATTAAAAAAAATTATATTTTTTAAAATGATTTTGTTACAGTCTGTTGTATAATCTTAACACAGCTATTTTTATCAAAGCCTCTAAGCAAAATGCACTAATGTTTTAGTCTTTTGACATTAATTTATTCAATTTTTATTTCACCTGAGATTTAATTACTCATTTATTCTTATAGTAGATATAATGTATTGTTTATATAAAATTAGGGTTTTTTAAAAAAAGTGTTGCATAATCTTACGATAGTTTAATTTTAATGATATTAAATAATCGATTAGGCCACCATTATTTTCAATCACTAGTTATATTCTGTTTCCCATCAAATCAATAAGCTTTTTACAGAAATCCGTGCTTATATTATGCCAATTTTTTAAAAATTTAGGTTTTTAATTTATTTATACTACCATAGGTTTTACCTTCAGAATAAAACTGTCTAGAAAGCTCTCCCAAAGATAATCTATAGAATTAAGACCAGGAGAATTTGCTAGCCAAAACACTGTCTTGATATTTTTGCAAGCTAGCCAATCTTTTATGGATACTGAAACATGTGGCCCTTAGTTATCTTATCCTGCTGAAAAATTATTTTAAATAAATTTTGCCCAGAAATAAATGAATGTAAATAGTAATTTAATATATCTTGATATTTAAAACATCTATACTTCCTGAAATAAAAGTCAATTTTTTTTTTGAAATTGTGGTATTCTGCATACCATTTTTAAAATGATTATAAAGAAAATTAATTTATTCGCCCTCCAAAAAATATATAAATAAAATTTATGGAGAAGGGAAGAGATTTATATCGAGATGAATAGAAATAGCTCAACTAATAAAAAAAAGTTCATTGAAAATTATGTTGAGTTTTGTTTAGCCTCAGGTAGACGACCCAGGGGTTTCCACATAAAAATTAAAGAAACCTTTTACCATAACTGAAGGTCCCTTATGGTTTTGCGGGAATACACAACTTCATTTGTTTTAAATCCTGCTCAATAATAGTTATAACCATCTAAACCATTAAAATTGAACTTTTTTTCAAAAAAAATATTATTTTTTTCCACTAATCCCAATATTTTAATATTTACCTGAAAAAAGTAATCTATTTTTTTTATGTTTAAAATTTAAAGCAGGTTTTCGACGGCATTTTTTTTTATGTTTGCCATCTTTTGCCAAAATTCTTGTTATGATGGATTTATGCATATTTAAATCTAAAAAATACTTCAACTTATTTACCATTACATTTTTATTAAAAGTAATTTAAATAATCTTGACAACGTCCTAAGAGAGACCTTTCAAAAGAAACCAGATGGCTTCTTCTTACCATAATTAATAAAATCTTTGATGTATTAAGCGATAACAGCGCGTGATTTGCCCATCTTTCTGCTAATTTTAGAAATTGACGTTTTTTGCTCACTCAGCAACATAATAACAACCTTTTCAAAATCATCGAAGGTTGGTTTCCATCATCAGAGGCTAACAAAATAATAATTTTAAAAAAAAATTTTCTGCCAAAAAAAAGTTTACCAAAAATTTAACACTCGCAAGATTATGCATCACTTTTTTTATACAAAGCCCAATTTTACGAAAGCAATACATTATATCTAGTAATAGAATAAATGAGTAACTAAACCCCAATTTAAATATAAAAGTGACTTAATTAATGTCAATAAAATTTTACATTAGTGCAATTTTAGTAGAGTTTTTGATAAAAATAGGGGTGTCGTAAAATTATGCAGCGGACTGCAATTTAAAAAGTAAATACAAAAAACATTAACGTCGTCTTAAGGACATTTTTTCTCTTCCTCATTTTATAACTATAGTCTTCTCTGGGACACAACCATTTCTTAAGTAAAGCTCTAGTAAGCTTTTATTGTACAACTTTGATTTGTTATTCATATTATTGTGATTAAAAGTTATTTTATTGCTATTCTTAAATTTTGTGTTTATTCTTTCAAAATTTTTATTTATAATAAATTATTTTGAAATTTAAGTTAAAATAATAAATGTTATGAAGTACATAACAATAACCCATTTAAAAATTAACAGGAACAAACAAGAATGTATTTTGTATGCTTTAACTGGATGAAATATTGAAGAATTTGCAAAATATTTTACTTTCTGTAATTGTTAAAAACCTTCTTTCTGCAACATAAGAATTTAATGTTTTTATTTTTAAATTTTTTGAAAAAATTAAATATTATATAGTTTTAAAAGAAGGGTATTAGATGATTGAAGAAAGAAAGTAGAATTTGATTAAAAATAATTAGAAAGATTTTGTCGTGTTTTGCAAAATAAAATGAAACGCAACGTAAATTTGTTAAGCCGTTGATTCGTGTTAATTCTCGATCCCCTCAAAGTTGCAATTCTTTTATATAGTTTTTGAATATGGCTAAATAAACATATTGGTAAAATAAAAGAAAGACAAAAGATACTAGAACATGTCAACATACTAAGGTAGGATAAGATCGTTTAATGGGTTTTTTGGACAAACACACTGTAATGATTAAACAAGCAATCTACATGTTTTAGTTGGTTCATTACAGACATTTTAACACAAACTATCCTTCTAGAACTTTAAATTACAAATGTGTGACCAGCCTTTATTTTCATGCGGTTTAACACAGTACCCTTTACTACTTACACCAATAACCTTTTTTTTCAAATTTTAAATCTAATTTGTTAGCATTGAATATTCTCTCACTATACCGATTTCCTATTTTGATAACATTTACTTTATTTGCTCTGTATAGATAGTTGAATGTTGTTGTTATTTTAAGGGGGTCATATTTATTGATAATAGCCATAGGTGATCTTTGTAGATTTCGGTTATAATCAATGTTTATGGAAGTTTCCACTTTTGTAATTGCTTTTTTTATTATTAATACTTAGAACGAACGTAATGATTTTGTTTAATGCCTCTGAGATACCATTTAACTTGCTGTGTATGCTGGAGTAAAATATGATTGATTCCCTTTTCCTTCAAATAACTTTGTGTTTGCTTGCTAATATATTGCCTTCCGTTATCGGCCGTTATTACTTTTGGAACACCATGTACTTCAATCCATTTTTCTATAGTATTAATTACCGCCTCCGAATTAATATTATATAAAAAATATAATTTAGTAAACCTTGAAAATATATCTGTAATTGTAAAAATATATCCTGTCTTTTTTCTTTCGGGGCAAATATATTCATCTAGACTGAATGGACCATAGATATCTGTACTTATGTTTTTAAAAGGTAAAGTGGTTTTCATCCATCCTTTCAATATTTTTTTAAAGTTATTGCTTTTAAATATTCCACATATCCTACGTTCTTTAGATATTTTAAACATTTGCATATACAATTCTTTAATATAGTAATAATATAAAGTATTAATTTTTTTATGTTCGCTGTATTTATGCATAAATCTTAAAAATTTTAATTCCTTTTGAATGTTCTACTATCACTTTATTTTGATTATTTACAATTAATTTACTATTATTTTCATAAACACTAAATTCTTTATTATCTTCTCTATATGAGTTTCTTTCTCTAAATTTTTACTCTTTGCAAACTGGTTCTTTGATAAAATATCTGCAATACAATTCTGTTTTCTTTTATATGTTAAATTATACGATCAAATTAATTTAAGATTAATTTTTATCTGATAATTCTTGAATTTACTGCTTTGTTTTTGTAAATGCAATTTCTGCTGTCTGTATGTATTTCTACATGTGTTCCTTGAATAATGTTTTTGAATGCTATAAAGGATAATATAATCGCCTAAAACTCTTTTTCCACAATTGTATAATTCAATTCCGTTCCTGTAAATTTTTGCTATAATATCTTATTATTTAATCATTTTGAAACAACACTGCCTATTCCTTCTTCAGATACGTCACATTGTATGGTGAAGTTTTTGTGTGACCAAGATAATTGCAAATATGTCTTTTTCTGATATATATTCTTTAATTTTTTTATTTCTAATATCATACTGGGCTCAATTCTTATACTTTTACTACCATTCCTTAACAAGTGTGTTAAACTTGCAATTCGTCTAGACATATTTGGTATAAATTTTCATACCAATTAAGAACGCCTAAAGTCTCTATATGTCCCGTTTGGTTGTAATTTCCTTATCAAATATCTTATTATCTAAATATTTTGTTCTAGGTAATACTCCTTCGATATTTACTTCATATCCCAATACTTCAATTTGTTTTTGAAAGAAATTGATTGTTCGAAATTTATTTATACAGTTTTTTAAGTACTTCTGAAACTGTTTTACAATAATCTTTTTGCCTTTGTTATATATTATTATGTCGTCTATGAATGCAAACACGTTACCAATGTCACCAAGAATGTTTGCTATATATTTTTGAAATGGTTTATTAAGACCAGGCTTAATACCGAAAGGGATTATTTTATATTCCCATTGTTGTCCTTTCAAAAAAAGTGATGTGTTTTTTTACTTTGCTCATCAATCATTATCTGATTGAATCCTTTACTTAAATCTAATTGAGTAAAATATCTATTTTTCACAATATTAATTAAACAATCATCTATATTGGGTAAAATCCACGGATCATCAATATGACATTTTTCAATTTCTCTGTAATTTACTTCAAGTCTAAGTCCTTATTTGTTTTTTTACTAAAAAACGCCAGGCTTACTGTGTAGGAAAACTTCATTCAATTATGTCTTCATCTATTAACCTTTTGATTTCCTGTTTACCCTTTTTGATGTATTTAAATGTCACTGTATTAGATTTTTCTTAATTTGTGATATTTTTTCTGATATTATAAAAGATTCTTTTACTCCTTTTAAAATTTTAAATTTCTCATTATTAATTTTGCAAAGTGTAAAAAATTTATTAAAAATTTCATCTTCACTATTAAAACATAACTTCTCTACTAAGTGTTGATCTAATTTTTCACCAACTCCGTTGGCAATTCCCATCATTTCCACCACACCCACCTGGAAGTTTATTTTTGCATTGTTATCAAATAAGAATCTGTTTCCTAATAGTAATGTAGTTGGTATCTGTTTAAAACATAAAATTTAACTTCGAATGCTTTTTCTTTTATTCTTATTTTATTGTTAATTATTCTGTCTGTATCTACTATTTGATTGTTCCAAAAACTATTGTTGTCTTCTTTCCCGTACTTATAAAAAGATTTAGTTTCTTACTTCATTCCCACTAGCGTAATTGTGATCCGAACCACCATCTACTAAAAGTGAAATTTTTTATTTTTAATAATTTTTTCGATGTTAATTTCATTCTCTGGGTTTACGTATTGTTGTATAACCATATTTTTATTCTTAACTTTATCATGGTCAAATTTTTAATATTTTTAAAGTGTAATAACTCTGAGTATTGTGTGCATAATCCTCTTTATGTAAGCTGCATCATTTTGTGCTTTTTTCTGTTATACAATTGTTTCTTTTGTAATCTAAATGTTTAATCGTGTCTTTATCTATTTTAAGTAACGATTTATTTTCTTCTTATACTAAAAATCGTAAATTTCACTTATAAATAAATAATCAAGTTTATGCGGGTTAATTCCAGGTGCGTGTAATCTCCTAATTCCTTTAAAAATACATACTTCTGCCATTTTATTATAAGTTTTGATTATTCTAAAGGTTGTTATAAAAGCTATATGCTTAATTTTTTTGTACATAAATTCTCTATATTCTTTAATTGTTTCAATCATGCTTTGACTAATACTATCTAATTCTCTAATGCACTGTCTTTTGTTTTCTACTAAATAAATTAAATTATGTAATCGTAAACGTAATTTTGCAAAAATAGTTACTAGAAAACAACTCTTTACTTTAATCGTAAATGCAACCCAAACTGATATTAGGCATCTGCTTATCTGTCTATGAAAAAGCCTTTGCTAAATTGTCAAATTTCGTAATGTACTTTATTGTTAACTCATTCTTTATGTTACATATTTTTAGTAACTTTTCCTTGCCTTTAACACTAGTTCCAGAAATAATTTTTTCAAACTCTACAATCTTTTTACATTAAAAAAAATTTCTCTTTTGTACATATATCCCTCCTCAACATCACTTGAAAAATCGGGCTAGCTGTCCCGATTTAAAATAACTTTCTAAATAGATCTTTATTACTGTCCCGCTTTGGTTACTATTTTTTTTTACTGATATTTGAATATTCTATCACATCAACTTTTAATAAACTTTCTTTTTAATAATTTTATTTAAAAAAATAAAATTCAAGAAAATTCATAAAATAAAAAATTTTTAAATTGTAGTATTGTCGAAGCTGAAAATCTTTTACAATAAGATCGTTTATTTGGATCCATATAGCTTCTTCTTCCTTATTGTTAAGGTTCCAGTAAAAGATGTTTTATAGCTTTAAATAGATAAAAAAACTAAGCAAACAAATAGATTCTTAATTAAGATGTTAAGACTACATGTATGTAATTTATATAGTAAATTAACTGTTTCTTTCAGAATAATGAATATTAAAACAGATTAGATGTAATGAAACAAATTAAAAGTGTGGTCATCTGCTAGTTGCATCATGACAGGTATTTTACCACGCAAATCAAAAAAAACTTTGTAAAATCGTCTAAAGCGTGCATGTTGAAAATTTGGTAAATTGATTAATTAAGACAAGTGTTAACTTTTTTGGCTAAAAATAGCTTTATTAAGCAGATTTTACAGAGGGCAAAAAAAATTATTTTTAACCCTTCTTTAAAAATGGGAAGAATTTTTATGACAAACGAAGAAATACAAAATTTGTATTTTTAAGTAAAATCGTCAAAACAAAAATAAAAATGTCCTCGTTGTTCATCTGATACTCGAATCAATGCCCCGATGGCTTTTTTTTGCGATGTAAATGGAAAAGGTGCAGATTGTTATTTATTATCTGGAAAAGCACCTTTTTTGAACACGCACACCTTGACCATATTTTACTGAGTAAATAATTAATTTATGGTTTACAAGTGCTTCTTATGGTCTAACGGCGCACATATAGGCTGTAGTAAACAAAATATAGTCAATGTAATAAATAAACTGCAGATCTTAAAATATTTATGGGCGATATCTTAAAGACGCAAACAAATTGGAGGAAACAACATCGTTGTTGAAATCAATAAATCAAAAACAGGAAAGAATAAATATAACAAGGGAAAGCCTGTAAAAGGGTTTTAATGTTTTGGAATGGTAGAACGTACTACCGATAAAAAAACAATTTTCGTTATTATATAAAAACATGACAGGCAAACCTTAATTTTTAATAATTTAAACACGTTAATACTGAATCCACAATATACGCAGATACGCGCAAAGCTTATTATGATTTAGGATTATATTTTAAAAAAAACTACATGGTGAAATTATTCAGTAACTTTTATAACCAAAAAAACAGGTGTTCATACTAACACAATAGAGGAAAACTGGCGTTCATCAAAAGCCTCTATACCTAATAGGTGCAGGAAAGAAAGACTTGCTTCTTTATTTTTTTCTAGATATATAATTATTAAAAATGAAACTCCATTACCACTAAAATTCTAAATAAAATATTTAATTATGTTTGTCAGTTTTATTTATTTAATGTCTTCTTACAAATTATCTTATGCAATAAAAATTGAAAAAGAAGGACTAAAAATAATTTTTTTTGTCCCCTGTAAAATCTGCCTAGTAAAGCTATTTTTAGCCCTTTTTTTAAGTGTATTGCAGTGTAACAAACGTAATATCTAAAAAAGTGGTAATAATACGCTAAGAATATCTTTAAATAACATATTAAAAATAGTTAAATATGGTTTTTAATTAATCATTTCACAAATAAATATTTAATTTCATATAACAGTAAGGTGGCGGAGAACCGAAAAGCATCAAAAGTTTTTGTTAATTAATTTGTATTTTCATGGTCGCACAGATTTACACATTTAAAGAATGTTTACGATATTCTTAAATTCAGAGAATTATGTATAATCTTACTTAAAATTTAGTAATAGACGTCATGATAATTACTAGGAAAGACTTTGTTGGAGTAGTCTAAAAACATCTTTATTGGTAAAAATTCTTTTTAATTATTGGATACCAATAATTTGTGATGTCCTGACGCATCAAGGACAAAATACCTAAACTAACAATCCAAAACCTTTTACACTAAAGTTGTGTTGTCTCACTAATTAAACTTCTCCTCAATTGGACACGTGTTGATTCCAACAGACTTTTTATAGAAAACTGTGGCATCCCCACAAATCAAATATTTAAAATTTTAATTAAATGGCGAATCAGTAGATTTTGATTAATTAATTTTAAATAAAAAAGAAAACCCCGAATTTAGGGGTTGTAATGCAGTCAAACACGACTAAAATAAATCACTTCAATATTATTTCTATTGTTGAATAGCACCTCGACGGGGGTTACGTCAAAAACATATAAAAAAATGTGTCTATTTTTATCTTATTTCTTTTACGCAAACAGTTGTTCTGTCGCCCTATGCATATGCATATTATAAAAATTTCTACTATCAATTTTTTATTTCTTTCTTTTAAATCTTTATTTTATGATAATAAATTAATAATTCAACTAGTTTGAATGTAAGAAGTTTGTTCAAAAAATTATTTTTACTTTTATTTGTCATAGTTCAGGCAATAATTAATAAAATAAAAAATTTATTGTTAAAAAATGTAAAACATCATAAAAAAAGCCACCAGACAATTGAAAACTCCACTGTAAAAACAAAACATCAATATTGCGCTTACACGCCAGAATACCTTCACGGCCTTGCTTATAGGAGAAAAGAATATTCTTTAAGTAACAGAATCCTTGGTCTACTTAAAGACCATTTTTTATCTTAAGCGAGCGTACATAACAACATCGGCATGGCTCAATACAATAATTAAGAACACAAATTAGTTCAGAGGAGCGATACAGCAAAAAAATATAATAAATTTTTTTAATAAGAGTGTAAATTATAAAATTTTTAAGTTAAGTTTTAAAAGTTAAGAATTTATTCAAGGTTTTCTCATGAACAAAAGGGGTGATGAGACACATAATGTAACGTATAGAAAAATGTTAGTGATTTTTATTCTTAGGACAAATACAAAATGTTTTTTTTTTACATAACTTATTTTTAAGATTTTAGTTTTGTCTAAAAAAGTCATATAATAGTTCTCACTTTTTTAATAAGGTAGCTTTAATTTACCATTGTACATATGCAACTACAATCTCATAAATGAATAAAATTTCTGTTAGGCGAAAAAAACAATACTTATAATAAATA